AACCGCAACCCTAGACACCCACCCCCAACCATACTGAGGCCTTGGGAGGCCTCATGCATTTACTCATTATTCTTGTAACTTCAGTCTATGAAAATGTGCTACCTTCTGCTTAAATCTGCTCTCAACATTCTAATTATCATTCTGCTATTTTATCCAAATGGGCAACCAAAAGACGGCAACCGAGACCGGCGCACGAAAGTGCATGGTTAATTGTTGTAAGAACTGAACTGAAGTGAAGTTTAGCGTTTGAAATATGCCCCAGCCTGATCGTGAAACATTCGCTACGCGAATAACAAATCGGGCGAACAAGTGGCCGACAACACTTACTGATCGCGCAACCCACAGAAGACTATCAGGGATATGCTAATTTGGAACGATATAAGTTGGATCGGATAGTTCCAACGAGAAATTATGCACACAGATAGCACGAAGAAAGAGGCAAATACACCGGTTTATAGCAATCTGTTGTGCCAGTGGAACAGTTTCGACCTACACGTCGTATGTGCGTGAAAGGATCCAACAGAATCAGATGAGAGAATGAAACAAGTAATCACGATTTTGCACCCACATCTGATTAAACCAGACCAAACTGATGAAAGCTAACAGCAACATGTAGTGTTGTTCAGTATACATAGGATACTGGTTTGTCTAGCTTTTTTCCATATGTCAACAATAAGAAAAAATAGCCTACTGTCAAAATCAAACTGCTTATCTGTCTGATAGTTCATTGAACTAGGTTCCACCACCACCGACTCCCTCTCCTCACATACACTACAGGGTTTCTCTTGTGTAGTGACCATTGGTAATCGTTTATAGACACTTGTGAGCATTCAGTAGCCTATGGGGCCAGCTTAGAGATCTGCCCCCATTGGGGCAGAGGTTAGTGAATACATCTATGGTCCACATCACGTTGGATGTTTTAATTCATTTTCGAGCGTTGGCGGGGGGCGGAAGGTTTGTTCGAGTCAGGTGAATCGGTGTGCGTTCGAGGCAGAAACGTTTTCTCAATAATTATCCAAACGGCAGCATCAAATTTCGCGGATGTGGCAGCAGATGAAATTAAGATAATCGACTTAAGCGGGTGAATGAACACGAAACCTGTAACCGAAGCGTAGGAAGATGAACGATGAACGCGGCAGAAGCGAGTTGTCCAGCGAACAGACGAGAGAGAGATGCTTTAAAACTTATAGTTCAGCATCTTGCGAATAACATAGAAATTCGTAGAGTTATCGGAAAAAGGAAATGTGATGGTCCAGCCCGAAATGAGGACTCGCAAAGCACCAATAGTCGGGTGAGTTCGTTCGGGAACTGTGTTTATTGGTGGAGGTCAAACCTACGACTGGTCTGAATGAAGTAAGGAGAAAGACTGAACTAAGTTACCCCAATCCGCCCACCAGTTTATCGCTCATCGATCCTCTTTCTGATGATTTTACATATATCTTAGAGAATCGGTGCATCCAACTGGTCCAAAGAAACAAGGATTAAGCAAGGGAAAGGCGAGCCCAAGAAGCAGGTGATCGGAAAATGGTAAACAATACAGTGAGGGGCAAAAACAGTGGAAGGGCTTTCGAATAACTGTACTCAACAACTATGGTGCACACACACACACAAATCAGAACTTTGTGCGACCTGAATGTTGTTGTTTGCTGTTCTCCGATGAACTTCATATATTTTCGAGACCAGACTAAAATGAACAGTGGCAGTTTTGAAAGATTTCTCCATGTTTGTGTGTGTGTGTGCTTTTCAGCTGGCAAAAGAACAATCAGATAATGAAATGGTACTTCTTTTCGCCCAGTATGGATGAAACAATATCGGCAAATGGGCATGCTAGCAAACGTATTGTACCCTATAGGTTATTTTTTAATTCTACAGAGAACCAATTCAATTTGTTTACGGAAACAACCAGAAAATTTTTACAGATAAACGAAGCTCAGATGAGGGTCACAATGAACAGTCAAACAATCAAAGAACATAGGTTTAGGAGTATTGCCAGAGGTAGGCAAGCAAACGATTGCGATGCATCTTACATGCATAATTTTATTTCTATTGAACCTACGGCAAATCACTCAGGTTTTTTACACTTGTATTTACTTGTATTTAGGGGATTTGCTTTCAGCTGAAGCAGAAATTTGCTCCACCCACCCTATCCTCCCGTCTCTTCTTGTCGGACTAAGAAGTAGTAGTAGTAGTAGTAGTAGTAGTAGTAGTAATCACGTGATTCAGACTAAACTAGCAAGTCTCGTAAATGGGTTGAACACCAGACGTAATGTGACCGTACGCGGTACGGATGTGCCCCGAAAACGGATGTTTATTCTCTCCCGCGGGTGTGGGGGTACAAGTACGGGTAGTGCAAACTAAACGAGTGCTACGGACTAGGTAAACGACAGGACAGTCTGTAATAACTTGCCGAAAAAAGTCAACCGATTGTATATAGTACTGTTTCAGTCAGGCCAAGTATGCTGTTTCTACGGTTCACATATTCACGATAGACCAAGTGTGACAAGTATGCGAATTTTGATTCACAAAGCGCGTTTGAACTAGTGATGCTGTAAAGAACGTGGTTTTTTTTAAACTAAACGTGAGTGAAAGAATCTAAAATTATTCTCTATGCATTTTGACTAGGAATTAATCACAAGAGAACGAGAATCTTTTTGTTTTTCTCCCTAAAAGAAACCCAGAGATGTACCGGCAAAGGGGTCGGAAGGACACCGTTGACCGGGAATGTTACTGATGAACAGGTTGAACCCGGTGCATACGTGTAACCTCCTACCACCATGATCGGCTTCTGGCAGCACTTGGATGCACATCAGTCAGACGCACCTGAGCCACGGTCTACAAGCCGATCTGATGAAAACACAAATTTGTTTGAGATTACCACTTGTGTTCCAGTAAAACAGGTAACCTAGGCCTGTTGTAGTCCCATTCCAAGCTTGCTCTGGAAAGGAAGATGCTGATTTTTTTAACTGACAGAGTTTTGCGTTATGAACAGATAAGTGGGCCGCATCACAAACGGAAAAACTATTCGGCTGCATAACCGACGCAATCTGTCGTTTACTGACGAACAACAGACTAGTGAAACCCACAGTGCCACACTACTTAACATGTTTCTGATCTATATTGAAGGCGAAAACTTGAGAGTGAGAACTCTGTTTTCTCAGCGGCGATTTCGGTTGGTCCGATTTGTGCGAAACACATAATTGCACTTGAGTTTCACAATTCAATGGTGGGAACACCATTCCATATTTTTGTCAATGACCGCTTCAGTGACCTTGAGTTCAGTAACTATGTCTAATCGATGAAATTCGGTTGTTGTATGCTCACATGGACCGAAACTATATTGCACAAAATAACAATGGTTTTTCGACAAATTTCATTAAAACTATCCTCTCAGGCCATCTTTGGTGACAAACTATGATTATGTAGAAACCTTTATTTTTGAGCACAAAGACAAAACAAAAATAACCACGCAGAAGTATGTTACAATGAAAATGGTCCAGTAAGGTAGAGACAATCTACTATGCTTCCACACAAATATGCACCGTCGATGTACCCGTGCACAACAGGCCTGGGCAAAGCTTTCTCCGTAGTACTCCGAAAACGCAGTAAATCTCCCTCCCAATCTTCCGCTGTCCAGAATTAATGTTCACTCTGAATTTTGTCACCTTGTAACGGCACTTCTAATCTAGTTTAATAGATTAAAATCTGTACTAGGTATGGCCCGGTTGGTAGGTTTAATACTTCGGTATAAACGTTCCGATACTGCCAAATATGACGGGCATATATGGAGGGAAGTGTTATCGTACTGACGCTACGACAAGTGCCCACACACA